CAACGAACAATTGATTTTAACTTCTGTCATCCGGCACCTCGACCACAAAAATGTTTTGTATGATCCTCAGATTAAATCTGATATGATCCAGACAGCTACTTTATTGGCACGGCAGCTACGATCACGAGGAATTGCTGCTGAGCTTGTAGTAGCAGGTGACTTGTGCAGACACTTGAGGAAAACACTAGAGGCCATGGAGTCAGCCAGTATTGAAGAGCTGAACTTGAATGAATCACTTCAAAATTTCTTGCAGGACTGTCTTCTAGAAGTTGTCACAGGAGTATGTTATCCACTATCCCAGCCACATGCTAACATTTTATCATCTGCCACAGATTACTTTGGTGTTTCTTTCTCAGCAATGTTTAATTGCATGAGCTTGCGTTTCAAAAACTTTACACTAGTATCACGCCAGTTCATAACTATGTTACCATATATTCTTATAGTTTCACCATTTTTTGCTAATCTCTGGGATATTCTTCCAGATTAATGATGTGCGGCCGCTCTATGACATGATGGCAATTACACTGGAGAATTTGCCTTCTATGCCTGTGGTTGCCAGAGCATCGATTGGAAGTTTGCTGATCCTTTCGCACATAATCTCCTTGACATCAATGTCTTTAAACGCTCCTATGGTTAGTCTGAATCTATACTATCTACTCACTATTTGAGTTAAGTATCAGAATAAAAAGGATTGCAATCAAGTTCAGGAACTGTGTAGCTCATATACGGATAAAATAGTTAACTTTTGTGGTTAATATTCTTCTCTATATTTACAAAATACTATTCTCTGACCAATGCTATGTGGATCACTTCTGCCATTCTTTACTAATTCTTTAATAACTCTTCTTAGCAGCTGTTTCCAGAAGCACTCCTCCAGCAGATACTGAAGTCCATGGTACATCCAGATGTTGACACTCGTGTGGGGGCACACCACATGTTTTCTGCTGTTATTGTTCAAGGACCAAGCCGTCAGAGGAGTGAATCAGACTTTCTATATGAAACAAAAAAATGGCAGTCTCGGACTACATCAGTATTTGCTTCAGCTACTGCTCTACTTGAGAAGTTAAGGAGAGAAAAAGAAAGTTTAGGTTCTGATAAGACAGGAAACATGGATGATGAGAAGGAAAAAAGCATAAGTGAAGAGGAAAATAAACATGTTTGGGCACGTAAAAACTCGGCTTATTTTTCAAAGCTGGTTTTCTCTTTCACTGATCGATATGCAGCACTAACTAGTTCTGCAGAGGTATTTTTTCTTTCAGTGAGTTTGATTGTTTGTCCTGCTTGCAGTGACATGGCACTTCTACTAGTAATTGAAGCACACATCCTTTGTTCATTTCTTGCTTTAGTGTCATTGTCTCCGATGTTTTTTTTTTTGTGTGTCGGACGTAGTAATTGAAGCACACATCCTTTGTTCATTTCTTGCTTTAGTGTCATTGTCTCCGATGTTTTTTTTTGTGTCGGATGGGGCATGCATGTATATAATCCTAGAGTATGGTAATCGTGATATTTGAATAATCCTCTCTATGTATTTCCCAGGAGGCTAATATTGTCATGCTAACTGAAGATCAAAAAAATCAATTGCTCTCCGCGTTTTGGGTACAGGCAATTCAGACAGATAACACTCCTTTTAATTATGAGGCGATTGGTCACTCGTACAGCCTCACGGTTATTTCTTCTCGCCTTAAGGTACGGGTTGATTTGAAAATATATAACTATTACTGTTATTCCTGCATGCAGTGGAAGTTCACATGGTTTGTCTAAGCTATATTTTTTTTTGCCATGGAAATATTTTTTTTGGTGCTGCAGGATTCAAGGAACAGTAATAACATTCAGTTTTTTCAGTTGCCGCTGTCCCTTCGTAGTGTTTCCTTAACCTCAAATGGTAGGACCCACACAGTGAAATTTGTGATTGATCTCTTCTGAACCACAAAAGTCACTTGCCTTTATGTATGTTTTTCCAGGAGTCCTTTCCCCTTCTTGCCAGCGGTCTATTTTTACCTTGGCAACAAGCATGCTAGCTTTTGCTGGGAAAGTCTGTCACATTACTGAATTGTTTGATGTGCTGAGGTGCTTTACATCTTGCAATGTAAGTACCTAATTCTAACACAGATGCTATCTTTTCACGGAATCATGCATATGCATGAAAGTGCTTCATTTTGGCAATAGTTTTTATTTGCTGTCTAGTTTTTTGCTCATTGCCCAATTATTTGTGTACCAATTTTTGCTTACTTTTACTATTTGACAAATAAAAATAGTTTATGTCCATGACTGTTTAGTGAAAATAACTCATGAAATATTTTGCAGATGGATCCTTATCTAAGAATTGGTGAAGACTTGCAACTCTATGTAAGGTTGCAATCTGATCTAGGTAACTATGGTTCTGATAGCGATCAAGAAATCGCTAGATCTGTACTTTCTGACTGCAGGACAAAAGTGGGGATTAATGATCAGCGAGTACTTGATGTAGTTGCTTGTGCACTGTGTAATTTAACTGAGGTAAAGGTTGATTTTGCCTTCTATTTGCTGTTGACACTGCACGTTGTGTTCTTATTGAGGTCACATGCTGTTGACAGCAATGGTTGAGTGCAGTTATCTAATATTCTTGGAATTGCTATTGCCAGATGGACAAGGATGTACTGGTGAAGGAGCTCACAGAAATGTTTACACCTGAAGAGGTGCCCTTGTTTGGGTCAAATTCAGCATTTGACTGGGCCAATTTTCATGTTCAGGCATTTTCTGATGAATCCCTTTCTTTTGATGAGGTAGGTACATTAAAACTGGTGTCTTTAATGATTCATCTGGTGGAAGCTCTTATAAAATTCTTTGATGGTGCAATGATCCTTGTAACTGTACCTTACCATTATGAAAATTATTGTTACTTTTTGTATCTTCTCAGTTGTCTTCTGCATTGTAGGAGTGTTCAAGAACCTCTTCAGTAGATGGTGGGTTGCATGAGTCACCAATTACAAACACCGGTAGCTCGATATCAAAGACTACGATGCCACAATCTGTTCCTCGTGTCTTAGGTGTTGGCCAGTTGCTTGAATCGGTGAGTACTTATCAGCTGCCTTTGCACATGGTTTGCTAGTTGCTGCTACTCAGCTAGCTCTAGTTGCCCTAATCTTATTAATTGTTAAGGTGGCATGGAACCATAACATGTTGTGTTTGTACCCCTTTCTGCTGCTGTCAAAATAGTATTTATCACGTGGTGGATTCGGCTACAAATATATTATGGAGCATTTGAATCTATGTAACATTTTCTCTACTGTGAACTCATATCTTTGTAATCAGGCGTTACATGTAGCCGGCCAAGTTGCGGGAGCATCTGTTTCGACCTCCCCGCTCCCATACGGCACAATGACCAGTCAATGCGAAGCCTTGGGATCAGGCACTAGGAAGAAGCTCTCAAGCTGGCTTGTCAATGGCCATGACTCTACGCCAGACAATCCTGCTCCAAGCCTTCCATCTGCGCAGCATTTCATCATTCCTAAAGTACATGATTTGTCCTGTCTTTCTCCCATGTCATTCTGGAATGTTGCCTATTCTGCATCTGTGTGTATCATCTGGCCCTCACGATCGCAATCGACATTCATCCAGGTAAATTCATGCGGTTTCGAGAGCAGCATCCGGACGACTTTGGAGCCTTGCTCGGCAGTGAAGCTCCCACCCGCCAGCCCCTTCGACAACTTCCTGAAGGCTGCATATCGTGCCCAGTAGCAGCCATGACAAGCCTTCGAGATTATGCCTAACCATGTTTAGTAGTGCTAGGATGTAGTACCTGAGCATCAGAACTAGATTATCTTTTGAAAGACTTGGCCGATCTGGCTTATCCTTTATTATCTGTAGCACTGTTAGTTGTAGTAGCTTGTGTATCAATGTATGGCTATGTCTGTGTCCCTCCAGTAAATGACAATCGTATATGTACTATGTAGTATGACCATGTAGCCCACTAGTAAATGTTTGTAGGGTATGTATGACAATGTATGACCATATTGTTTTTTTGAGATGTAGGATTCTATTTCAGACTCGAGTAATCTGTGGGGGACATGTTCGTCGACCTCCGGTGCTATTTTTCCTTTTATCACTGCAAGGATTAGATGGTTTCCTGCAATATTTGCATGCTATTCGCGCGGATGAAATTGTGAAGTCATGGGTTTCTCAAGTCCACAATCATTAGTTCACATTATTACGGCGTTCATGAATATTACATTTTGGAGGATCTTATTTCTATAGTTTTTCTATATAGCTCTTTGAATCAAGAAATGTTTTTCATGTGATCTAATCAAAAGGTCATTTCTATGTTTGCAATTATCTATTTTACATTTACATTTCTATCAAAATCTTTTTTTTGTTTTTTTTCCTATTTATCTGTTTTTTTTATTCCTGCGATTCAAAGTGACGCTTAAAATTTAGGGAAAATTGCAAAAACCATCCTATAAATCACTTGAAACTTGACATTCCACTTTATAAGCCATTTTATTGCAAATACCACCCATCTACTCTGTCTAATCGAATCAACATGTTTTCATGAATTATGAGCTGTCAATGAAGCTTTTACCAAAATTAAATATTTATATAGTACAGTCTTGACACTTTTGTATTGAGTTTCGCTGTATTTTAAAAAAAATTAATTAAACATGAAGAATAAATCTGATACAAAAGCACTTGGACAAGATTGACTCGACTAGTTTTAACCTGTGGTATCCCTACCCCAGCGATAATGGGTTGATTCGGTTAAACACGTTCGCACTAGAATGGTTTTTACAAAAAAAAAGAACTGAGTAGGGGTGGACATTTACAATAAAATAACTTATGAGATGTAATGTGAAATTTCAAGTGATTTATAGGGTTGTTTTTTTTTAAATTCCCTAGAATTTAACGGGTGTGTGTCTGGTGGACGTCCGTGGTGCGCGCGCGCGCGCGAGGGAATGATCAAAAACCTTTTCGGGGCGTCACGTAAGCCCATGACCCGACGTCCAAAGGCCTACCAACACCGTCGGCATGGCCCGCGTCTTCTCCTCGTCTTCCTCTCTCTCGAGTCTCGAAGAAGACACACACTATTCTCTCTTCTTCTTACCACCCTCTCCCGGATAAGAGGCGCAACCAAAGCCCCCACCCTCGCCCAAAACCCCCACGAGCCGCGGCCATGGCGACCACCACCACCACCCCCTCCTCCTCTCTCACCGCCCCTCTCCTCCGCCCGAGCTCGAACGCGAACCCCGCCCCGAGATCTCTGCCGCTCCTCAGGTTCACTCCCCTCTTCCCCCTCCCTCCTCACTCTACTCTGTCGTGGCTCCACTCGCTCTACCCTAACTGACTCGGTCTTGCAGGAGCCGGAGGTGCGCTCGGGCCGTGGCGACCGCCGCCGCCGCCGCTGGCCACGGGGCCGCTCATCAGAGGAGCGGGATTTGGTCGATCAGGTGGGGGGGGGGGTTGATTTTGTGACGAACCATTTGTAGCTCTGCATCGTCTGGTTGGGGGAGGGTTGGGTGGGGATGCGAGGGAGCTGATGATGCTGTGGTTGTTGTGTGTTTCGTAGGGATGATTTGGTGGTGCCGAGGTCGCCCTACTTCCCTGTGGAGTATGCGTCGGGGCAGGAACGCGGGCCATCGCCCATGGTGATGGAGCGGTTCCAGAGCGTCGTCAGCCAGCTCTTCCAGCACGTACGGGAGCACTAGATTGTTGCACAAGTTTATTTGTGGAGGGTTCTGTGTGCTGTCTGACTCTGTGTGATTGTGGAACAGAGGATTATCCGGTGTGGTGGACCCGTGGAGGATGATATGGCGAACATCATCGTTGCCCAGCTGCTATATCTCGATGCCATCGATCCTAACAAGGTGAAAATGATGAATAAGACGCTATCCGACATCCAATTCCTATTTCCTATACCAATAGCTGCCAAAGCTTTGTTACGAACTGCTTACTCTAAAAATACTGAGGCGATGAAGGGAGTGGTGCTCACTGTATTTACAATTTTACATGAACTATATGGTGTCTTGTTTTAATGGATGATTGTTGTTAATCCCCAGATAAAATGGTCCTTTTATCTGTCAATACTCAATACCAGACACTAAAGTACCATTGCTACTCACTTTGGGTTATATATGAGTCCTTGTTAGTCCTAGCTTAGGCTGTGATTCAGTTATGTAGTTGTGACCTCAAACCTTATGGTGAGGCTTGTATTGCGATTTCATCTACCAGGACCTGATTCCATGGCACCATATATTCATGATTTCGTACTTACATTCAGTACTCGATTCTTGACTTCCTCTCAACATTCCTGTAGGATATCATTATGTATGTGAATTCTCCTGGAGGATCAGTGACAGCTGGTAATAACTCATCCATTTTTTTTCATAGCTCCATCTCACTCTTGGAACATTTGTTTCACACCAAACTGCATTTTGTGTTTAGGGATGGCCATATTCGACACGATGAAGCATATCAGACCTGATGTTTCCACAGTTTGTATTGGACTTGCTGCAAGGTATTTAGTACTGAAAAACTGATATCCTTAATTGGCAATTGATTTGGATTTGTGACGCTCTGCAATTTATGCATCTTATAATGTTTAATTCTTTAGCATTCTGTTCAATTATTCAAGTAAGGGTTTCAGTTGCTATATTCTGGTCAACATGTAAACATGCACCTGTTTCCAGTTGTATATCCCGCCTAATTCCTTCTCCTTTCATAATGTGGGAAGCACACCAAATCATTGATTGTATCAGGCATGTTCTATTCAGTATAATCAGCCTCAATCTAGGATTTTGGGTTGACTGAGATCAAATTTTGTGCTGCGCATGTTAGCAAAGAAGCTTTGTACCCTCATACCTCCTTAATCAAAATATAATTTTTCAAACTTTATGTTTGTGAGAATCCATATGGATGTTGATAACAGGAGAGTTTCTTCATTTCATGTACTTTATCAATGTTTAGCCAACAATGCAAATTCAGGAGTGCTTATCAGTATTCCAGGCACACAGTTTATTAGTAAAACATGATAACTGTTCAGCTGCAAATCTGTAACCATTTCTTTCTCATTGTACTTTTGGAATGCTCTCTTTTAGCTATCCATCTTGCCTTAAGTTGCATTGATTTCGGTTATGCACTCATTTTCACTGTTTTGTTTCCCTTTTTGGCAGTATGGGAGCTTTTCTGCTTAGTGCTGGGACAAAAGGTAATTGAGTGATTGTTAATGCAAGTACTACATTTATTCTACAACTAGACTGATCTGAATCCTTGAATACTGTACTTGTGAATGTAACACAGGGAAGCGATACAGCTTACCTAACTCAAGAATAATGATCCATCAACCTCTCGGAGGAGCCCAAGGACAAGAGACTGATCTTGAGATCCAGGTAAATCCACAAAGTTAAATTGTGTTTTTATCAAGATCAGGACGACATCTCAATAGCAAATAATTAACCATATCATTGTTTCTCTCTTGCCGGTATATGGTTCGATCTACATGAAATACATTTATTTCCACAAGCGAATAGCAACTCCGCTGGCTTTCTATTGTTACTTGTATCACCAGAAGATTTTTCTGTCACTGATTTTCCATTATTTCTTTTAGGCTAATGAGATGCTGCATCACAAGGCTAACCTGAATGGATACCTAGCATACCACACTGGGCAGCCCCTAGATAAGATCAACGTAGATACTGACCGTGATTACTTCATGAGCGCGAAGGAGGCAAAGGAGTATGGTCTAATTGATGGAGTTATCATGAATCCCCTTAAAGCCCTTCAACCGCTTCCTGCTTCTAGTTAGCCATGGAGTGCTCAATCTCCACGGAGCATTTTTTGGTTATCTTTTAGAACTGTTATTGCATCCACTGTTTTTATTAGCTTGGCAAGATAGTTTTGCGATTCCACAAGCAACCACATCCTGAGGCTTCAAAGTTTGTACAATACAGATGTACTACTAGGAGGATATCTTCTGCGATGAATATTGCAACTTATTTGATGTACTATTAGGAGGATATCTTCTGCGATGAATATTGCAACTTATTTGATACTCCCTCTGTTTCATGCCAAGTCGATTTGATTTTTTTTCCTTAGACAATTTTCTGTAGGTTTGACTAAATTTATCAAAAAATTAGCATAATCTACAACACTAAATTAGTTCTATTAAAATAACATTGAATATATTTTGATAATATGTTTGTTGTATTAAAATGTTGCTATATTTTTTATATACTTGATCAAATTTTAAAAAAGATTATCTATAAAAAAATTAAAACGATTTATAATATGATGAAATGGAGTGACTTATAACGGAGGGTGTACGTAGTAGTATTCTGAACCTTGCGTTGAATTGCTGGCAATACGTTATACGCAAGGTAAAATTAGATATGGGCTCTGATGTAGGGAGAATCATAATGCCGAGTGCAATACTTCTCGTTTCGCTTCTAGCAACTTTTCATTTCACATTAGTGGGACAATCATAATGCTGAATGCAATACTCCCTAATGCTGAATGCAATACTTCTCGTTTCGCTTCTAGCAACTTTTCATTTCACATTAGTGGGACTGTGGGAGAATCGTAATGCTGAATGCAATACTTCTCGTTTCGCATTAGTTCTAGCAAATTTTCATTTTACATTAGAGAAGATACAATAGCAGGCTATAAGCCAGCTATAAATATATTTTAAAGAGATAAATGAAAAGAGAGAAAAACAGCGAACTACAAATTTGTGTATGACATGTAGAATCAGGTATTAATAGTATAGTAAGTAACTATTGTATTAATTGACTATTACATTGGCTATATATAATTTAGAGCTAGTAGTTGACTATATTAAACTTAGTTCTCGTTCTCGCAACAAATTACATCGACTCTCGTGAACTATATCCCGATCATTTATCAAAGTAGCATTAACATCATTACATCAACTTTGATTAACAGTAGTGCGTAGCTGCATTAATGAAGGCTAGAGAAATGCTTTGAGGTGAGAAATGACAAGTGTCTTGATAAGACAAACTGAATGCTAGAATGGCAGCAATCTGAAAGAGAGGGAGTAAGAATTTTCATGCCCGTCAAGAACAAACGGATCGCTGGCCATTGCACAACATACGTGCAGTTGCGCACATCATGTAATATCTTGTAATGATTTTCATGAGTACCGCATATACAATTGTGCACATCATGTAAGACCTTAGAACGATTTTCATCAGGTGTACTGCATATACAATAAGGTACGGGTAGTACCAATGGACCAATTCAACTTCGTCTATAACTAAACAGCCATTTACAATTCTTAGGGGTTTATAACTTATGGTAAGCATAGCAGCCGCTCAGACACCGAATGGGGTAGTATAGCTCTTATCAAATCTATGCACAAACCTACCTAAAACTTGCCCTCAATGTAACCGGCCAGACCATTGATTTTGAAGAACTTCTTGATCACAAGGGCCATAATAGCAAGAGTGAGTCCAAATGCAGCCAAGGTCAATAATCTGTCATGCTTTGGCTTCTGGATTGCAACAACAGGATTCTGTGGCGTTGGAGCAACTCTTGGAATGTTTTCTCTGCTCAAGTTGGCCCTTGAATGGTTGCTAACCCCTTCTGTCCGACCTTCAACAATGTGTTGTACAATTTCTGACTCAGAATCAGGCCTTGGAAGGTCATTATTAACAGAGTCTGAGTTGGACCCAGCCGTGTTCACGCCTCCAACTGCCTTGTGTGCATGCTCATCAGAAGCATCAGATGCAGGCAATTGGTTAGTCTCCTCATTAGTTTCATTTGTCAGCAGCTGAGGAACAGGGGGAGCCCTACTGAGCATTTGCTCATGGATCTGTCATTGCAACAGTTCTTTGCATCAGAAACAGAACAGGTGTGCGTTTGTTCTTATTAAACAAGTGTTAGGAATTTACCTCATCAATTACTTTTTGGCGTTCTGCAGAGCCAAACTTTGGTGGTGTTTCACGTGATTTGATAGCTAGTGCCCGTCTATCTTCCTTTTTGAAGTCCAACGAACCCAATGCCCCACCACCTGGTGTTGGCATGAATGCAATCAAAGCTACAAGAGCTGTGCGCACTGCAACACAAACAATCGGGAAAAAAAGGAATTGGTATCAGCTGGAGGATCAATGCCATAATGGTTTCTAACACTAAATTGGCAATCCCTCAATGGGTAACTAATATATTATTTGCGGACATAGCACGAATATCCTCCCCAAAGAATTATGAATCTGTACATATATATACTCACTACCTATCTAACTTACTCCCAACCATGATAAATTGCAATAAAATCAAAAGTTCCGTATTGAGGCTATGACGCTGTCTTAAAAACACAAAAAGTACTACTATTCCTTCACAGCAAAAAGATATGCACAGGACAGATATAAAAAGGGAAAGCACATGTCCCTCCTTTGGTCCAGTCATGTGCTAAACACTTGCTACATGACGATTCCTGAAAGAACCAAAGAATAGTTTCATTTGGCACCATGCTCGTATAGTACACATAGTAAATATTTGTATACTATGAAAAATGGTGCCCACCATATGAATGGATAGAAAAAATTACATGCCAATCCTTGGTTGTATTTTAAGATTGAATAATTTGGTGTACAAGCTTTAGCATATATCTCTCATTATACACCAACTGACAAAAGGATATGATAAGCAGCAAATTGTAAAAAACAAGAACACCATGGACTGCCTATTGTATCTTAGCAGCATTGAAAGGAAGCTGCTGAACACAAAGTTTTGTAAGAACTGCAGGGAGAAGTGCATGTTTCTTTTGGCCTGGTCATAGGGCAAGTACTCGCCCATGAAAATCACAAAGACCAATACAAAAAGAAGGCATTACTTTTGCACCATGCTCGTATAGCCCACAAGACCAAATCACCGTGGACTATGAAATATGGTGCTACTCATTGCATTAGGTACCCCAACGTAAGGGCTTACTTGAACAATCCCTTTCGAAACAAAATGCTACTCAGTACTCACCACTCCATGATGGTTGCCAGTGCTCAGGGTGGTAATTGGATATGCTCAAACAAATCTTCTTTTGAATCTCAAATCTTCCACTTGGCTGAATAACAGATAAACATATAATAAAAAACAATATTTAGCAAGGGCTCACAAATAGCATGGTGAGCTAACGCAGGGAAATTACAGACCGTGAGCAGCATGAATGATGGTGGCTTAAACGGATAGTCCGATGGCAGCTGGATCCTTCCATGGTAGATTCCTCCCTCAAACTCACTGTCTCGTGGCCCCAGGATCGCAAATTGCCACTCGAAGATGTCCTCCTACACAAATACATACATTTAAATCATAAAAAACACATCAGCCTCGATCAGAATACCATAAGTAAATTTGTAATCCGAAAATATATCATGGAAACGGCCTAAGTAATACTGGAATCCCACTTGATTCACACACCAGTTAATCGAAATGACGTAATACTACCCAATATCAAGAGTCATCCTGCATACGATGATCTAATCGCAACATTGATATACGCTAACATCCCAACATTTCGTTATTGCACAAACTGCACAATCAGATCAAGAAGAAATGCAGATGAACCCCCAAGGTCAACGCATTAAATCAAGCCTCTAAATTTCCGCACCCTAAAAACGCCATCAAAACCAGATCTCGCCCCACTAGCGTTCGATTCGGACACAACCAAGACCAGATCGGGCAGGAATGTAAATGCAGGATGCAGGGTTAGGATCGGGGACCTCGAGGGGCATGGCCATGAAGTCCGGGGACGGGTTGGACTGCATCTCCTTGACCTCCTGAAGGATCCGCTTCACCGCCGGGTTGCCCCGGTTGTACTTCGCCGTGGCCTCCATCTCCGCCGGCTCCGCGGAAGGGAACCCTCTCGCCTCGTCGCCGCCGCCGCCGCCGCTTGCCGGTGCAGGCTTGGCCTCCGAATTGGGGAATCGGGAGAGGGGAGGAAGGAGCGGAGGAGTGGGAACGGTGGGTGGATTAAAAAGGAGGAAGAGCTGGTTCTGGTCTTTCCCTGGCTCGTGGGACCGGTTACTATGTTGGGCCCACGTGTCGGCGAGGGCAGAGTGGGAGGGGGGGCGACGTGGATGGGCTAACGTGGCACGTCGCTATTGGTTTTATAGGTCGTGCGGTGAGTGAATGGAATATTCCGATTGGTTTGGTGCGTTGGGCCAGCTGGGCGGCTGGGCCTTAAATGTTGGGCCTAAGAAGCTTCTATAATAGAGGTGGTTGTTTCCCTTCAATTTATGTCATCCATCAACAAATTAAGAGCTATCATCTATCCATAAATTCATTTAGTTTGGACAAATTCAAAATTGTAAAAAATGGAAAAAAAGATCATATAGGTAGTACCTAATTTATAGTACTAGTTTGTGAAAAATAAAATCTAACACCATATTTTGCAGACAAGCCGAAATTGAAACTTAAAATAGAAAAAAAAACAAAAAGGCTAGGCCAATAGTGAGCACTGTTCATTAAGTCCATTAGGCTCACTTGAGGGGGAAATGGATTTCTACTTTGTTCAATGTCCATAATATAGCAAATATCATGCCAAAACTTTCTACATGATTCATATTCTTTTACATTTTTCTGATTTTCCTCTACATTTTCTAAAATTATCTACAATTTTTATTTTTTTAAATAGTTTTCTAGGGAGAGATGGGGGACGAAGCCATCGCGGCAATGCGGCAGTGGAGGCCTGAATCACCATATGCTTAGACACCCGAGGCATTTCAGGTGAATCACACCAGTAATCTCTCCAGAGGAGCAAACTCATCTCTGAAATGATGAAAACCGTGAAGCATCCCTATTCCCTAACCAGAATCAGTCTCTGTGTCACCTTGGATATGAACTTGGGTGGCGTTGTGGCACTCCAGGCACACCCTAAGATTCTTGATTATCCTGATTTCAGATCTCGGTTCTGTGCTGAGAAATCCGAAGGCAATTGCCAGCTTTTCACTGTGCACTTTCAAACATATGCTCCTTCTCTTCCTCCTCAACATCGTACAATGCTAGCTCTGTCTCAGGTCGATACCTAGCGTCAAATCGTCTTTGAAGTTAAGATTTTCCAAGTATGGCCTCACACTGTGGATGGGCACAGTCGCCGGCCATGAGGAAGTTTGGCTTGTCAACTATCTCGATTAGTTTAACCAGCTTCCTGCCTTTTGCCGCTGCTTCAGAGATTTGCTTCTTGACTACAAGTAAATTAGAGAGCAGAACATAGTAGCCGCTGTTTTCTGGGGGTGCAATTTGTGCAAGATCGCTATCCTTATGGACCATGCAAGCACCAAGCAATATTAAGCCAGGTCCAACAGCGGTCTTGGGGAATTCAGAAATGAGCTTAAAAACCTCCTTGAGCTGGCCAGCTCAGCCAAGGAGGTCCATCATGCATGTGCATGCTCAATACTTGGAATTATTGCAAAATGATCGGTCATTGACTGGAAGACTTTGCGCCCTTCCTCAGCCAACCTTATGTGGCTGCATGCATAGAGTACCAACAGGAAGGTAGCGTTTGTTGGAATAAGGTTTGCATCCAGCATGTCCTTGTAGAGCTTCAAAGCCTCAGCACCTTGGCCCATGAAGGCCATATCCAGCTAATTGCATTCCATGAGACCACATTCTTGCTATCCATACTGTTGAAGTGAAGATGCTCCGAGCTTCGGAAATGCTTCCACACTATGCATACATGTCAATGAGCACTGTCATGACATAAACATTGGGCCCCAAGTCCTCCTCAGCGATAATCCTATGCAGCCACTTTCCCAGGGACAAAGCTCCAAGCTGTGCACACGCTGAAAGAGAGCTAGAAATGATGATTGGATTTGGTCACACGCTAAGTACCAGCATTTGCTCAAAGAGGGCAATTGCCATCTCCGTCCAGCCATTCTAGGCATACCCTGGTATTATTGCTTTCCATGATTCCGATTCCGTGGTCTTCTATGGCATCGCATTGAAGGCCTTCCTTGCAGACTCCATATCATTTAACCTACAGTACAATATGGTAATTGCTGTCGACACTGGAGAATTCGCAGTAAATCCAGACTTGAGAGGACCATGTAAGCATTGATCAAGCAGTTCATTCCCAAACAGACTATACGGGATCAGTGCCAGTGCTCGAGTTTGGCTTCAATTCCAAGGCCATCAACCCAATAAACAGATTAACTGATGAACCAACCATGCAATTCGCCGAGCAAACATAGATTAAGCATTGTAGGCAACCAAATCTGGATTCTCCATCAAGTCAAAGAGACGCCATGCAGAATTCCACATCCCCGCTGTATACACCGAGATCAACCGGTCAGAACATGCTCATACTCCGCCAACCCTCTCTTCAGAACATGCTCATACTCCGCCAACCCTCTCTTCTCTGCAAGAGGCATCCTCCCCAATTCCCCATTGTTATATCTGTTGCTGGTAAGACCGTTGCCAGCGTGGTTGTGTCAGACCGAACAGACTCTGCACTCGCCATCCTCACGAACGACTCCAGGGCCTCCGAACCAGGAAGCCCGGCCGGCCATCAGCGTGTTCCACATAACGGTATCCGGCGACTGCACAGTGTCGAACACCTTGCGTGCGTGGTCACCTCTGGACAGCATGAAGCGTACAGGCTACAGCTTGGCCAATGCGGACGCCACGAACGTGTCGGCGGCGTAACCCGCGCGTGCAGCGCGCCGCGCGCGGGCTGCGGAGTCGGTTGGAGACGACACGCCGCCGCCATGAGAGCAATGAGCGAGGTGGCGGCGAAGGCGAAGGAGAAGTAGTCGAGGCAAGCGGAAGAGAAGGCGGCAGCGGAGAAAGCGATCGGGGCGGCGGAGGAGGTGGGTGGGAGGGAGGGACGCGTAGCGGAGGTCGGAGGAGGAGGGAGCTGAGGTTTCCGGGGCGGGGGTCGAGAGGGTAGTGTACGGAGGCGAGGGACACGGCGAGGATCTGGTCGAGGTAGCGCAGTGTGAAGGAAAGCGCGATGAGGCGGAGGGCGCCGGCGAAGAGCGGCGCGGCGGATAGCGGGAGGAGGCGGCGCCGGCGGGGTCTCATCCGATTGGAAACAGATTGGGAAGGGGGAGGGGGTAGGAATACGTGGCGTCGGCAGTATTAGGTAGAGAGAGAAACCCTTTCCATCCTTTGTCTCTTAGCCCCGAAGGAGAGAGAAAAATCAGAAAAAAAAAACCCTCCGCGTGTGGGGGAAGCAGAGCTCCGGACGCTGGCGCCGCTCGCGCCACCGCACCCGCACCGCCATGGCGTCGTCCTCGTCCAAGGCCTCCGATTCCTCTTCCCAACGCCCCAAGGTGCGCGCCCTCGCCTCAGTCTCGACTCCCCGCGCCCGATTCCCCACTCCGATCTCCTTCCCCAATCTGATCGGCCTCGCTGTGCAGCGGCCGGATCAAGGGCCGTCGGGCAAGGACGCGGCCGGCCTCGTCGCGCTGCACGGGAAGCTGGCGCAGCTGAAGCGTCAGGTCCAATCCACCCGCCTCGCCGCGATCAAGGCAAGCGCCCGCCCGCCGATCACGCATCTCTACAGTTTCAGCTCGCAGGGGGAAGTGTGAGTAGTCGGTTGGATTTTGCTCAATCTGGCGTGGATTGGTTTGGTTTGTGGTTTTTGAGCAGGAGAGGGTGGAGGCGAACAGGAAGGCGCTGCAGGTGCACACGTGCGCTCTGTTCGACGTCGCCGCGGCGGCGGAGGTGGCGTCGCGGGGCGCCGAGGGCGGCAACGCGCTGTCGCGGGGCGCGGCGGAGGGGCACCGCAGGTTCGTGGGGTGGGACTCGGCGAGCGGGCCGGGGGAGAGGGAGTTGGTGCATGTGCAGGAGGAGAATCTGGTCGCCGGGACGCTCGTGCTCTCGAGCTCTGGTGGTAGCGGCGCCTCGCATAGGACCGTCGTGCAGCTTGTGAAGCTGCCTGTGGTCGACAAGATTCCGCCCTACACCACGTGGATCTTCCTGGACAAGTATAATGCTTCTACACGCTCATTGTTCCAATCAGATCACTTGTCGCTAGGTTCTTGAACTTGCAGTTTAAGTTTTACAAGAGTTCAGGAGAAGTTGGTATATTGCCATGTAATACTTCTTAAATAAAAAGTAGGGTATGCCATGTAATGCACCTAGATATGATATTGTGGAAAATATACTACTCAAAATTCACTTATGATGCATGAAGCAAAATTGAACTATTTACCCATACAAGCCATAGAAACCAGACAACATTTTCAGACAGATATTGCAAACTTGGGACTAGTAGAAATATTTGGAATATAAGTGTTAGCTCAAACATTACACTCAGGTAGTGGTGTTCATGTGTTTTTATGTTTGCTGATGAGCGAGAGCACTAGTTTGTGTTAGGATGATGGTCAGTTTGAAAAGATTCAGCTACTTGAACGATGTGTCATGCTACTTATCTTCAGTTTATTTGCTTGATTAATTCCAAAGTGGTATTTATTTTCTCATATACGTGCTGCATTGGTGTAACAAAGAATACTTGATCCCTGTTGTATTCGATATTTTACTCTGGTTTAAACAACACAGCGCAGAAACCAAAGAATGGCCGATGATCAGTCAGTTGGTAGGAGGAGAATTTACTACGACCCAATTGTCAATGAGGCTCTGATCTGCAGTGAAAGTGACGATGATGTTCCAGAGCCAGAGGAAGAGAAACATGTTTTCACAGAAGGAGAAGATCAGCTAATATGGTAAAAACCTGGACATTCAAGAATTCTCTCTTTTTTTTTCATTGAATATGCTGTGATTTTTCCCAATCATGATATCTTTCTGTTGCATTTTCTTTTCAATAAAATGATTCAGATCTAAGTTAAACATGGAAGAAGGCCCAGAGCCATGAACTTACATTAACATAACAAACCATCCGTGCAAAGTTAGTTGCGCTGTGCAGTTGTTTTACTCAGTCTGCATGATTAATCCACCTGTTTTCTACCTTAAGGATCGTGCATACTCTAAGAGCTTCCAACCTTCATGTACCCTGTTAATTC